GAGTTATCTCCAATTATTACAATATAAACTGTAATTGATGTACAAATTAACTGTAATTGATATATAAAATTGAGTTATCTCCAATTATTACAATATAAACTGTTATTGATATAAAAAATTGAGTTATCTCCCTTTATTACAATATAAAATGTAATTGATATATAGAGTTATCTCCCATTATTACGATATAAACTGTAATTGATATTAAATTGAGTTATCTCCCATTATTACGATATAAACTGTAATTGATATGTAAAATTGAGTTATCTCCCTTTATAACAATATATAGTTTAATTGATATATAGAGTTATGTCTAATTTTTACAATAAAAACTGTAATTGATATATAGAGTTATCTCCTGTTATTACAACATAAACTGTAATTGATATTAAATTGAGTTTTCTCCCTTTATTACAATATAAACTGTAATTGATATTAAATTGAGTTATCTCCCATTAGTACGATATAAACTGTAATTGATATTAAATTGATTTATCTCCCTTTATTACAATATAAACTTTAATTGATATATATAGTTATCTCCCATTATTGCCATATAAACTGTAATTGATATATAGAGTAATCTCTCATTATTACAACATAAACTTGAAATAATATTAAATTGAGTTATCTCCCTTTATTACAATCTAAACTTTAATTGATATACAGAGTTATCTACCGATATTACAATATAAACTGTAATTGATATTGAATTGAGTTATCTCCCATTATTACCATATAAACTGTAATTGATATGTAAAATTGAGTTATCTCCCATTATTACAATATAAACTTTAATTGATATTAAAAAGAGTTATATCCCATTATTAGAACATAAACTGTAATTGATATGAAATTGAGTTATCTCCAATTATTACAATATAAACTGTAATTGATATTAAAAAGAGTTATCTCCCATTATTACAACATAAACTGTAATTGATATTAAATTGAGTTATCTCCCTTTATTACAATATAAACTTTAATTGATATATAGAGTTATCTCCCATTATCACAATATAAACTGTAATTGATATTAAAAAGAGTTATATCCCATTATTACAACATAAACTGTAATTGATATGAAATTGAGTTATCTCCAATTATTACAATATAAACTGTAATTGATGTACAAATTAACTGTAATTGATATATAAGATTGAGTTATCTCCATTTCTTACAATATTAACTGTAATTGATATATAGAGTTATCTCCCATTATTACAATATAAATTATAATTGATATTGAATTGAGTTATCTCCCTTTATTACAATATTAATTGTAATTGATATATAGAGTTATCTCCCATTATTACAATATAAATTAAAATTGATATTAAATTGAGTTATCTCCCTTTATTACAATACAA